GTGCGTGCGTGTTAATGCCTGTGTGTACATGTGCGCGCGCGCCTCTGTGTGTGTGTGTGTGTGTGTGTGTGTGTGTGTGTGTGTGCATTTTCGCTTGTGCGCATGTTTTCACACTTAGTTATCGCTCAGTAGAGGCTGGGAACGCTGGATTTGTCTCCCGTCATCGGATGTCGTAATTTATTTAATTTGTTTAGAATCCAATTAGTTCGCGCGCGATTTTAATACACGATTCTCTCGTCTGCGCTGAATAAGCCAACATCGAATTTTGGGGGATTTTTTTCCTCTGTGAACCAAAGTTAAACCTCCGTTTTCAAAGTTGAACAGAAGGTCAGTCATTCACCACAGCATTTGGGAAGGTTTTCTTCGTCTGTTGCAGGATCCCAAATGGTTAGTGAAGCCTACACGGGCGGTGCATGGCTTTCTACCATCACTGCAGGATATACCTGACAACCAGTCAGACTATCTCTACGTCCATTTGTCTTGTTTTTTTTTATGATGTATCTGTGACGTAATTGGTAAAGACGTAGTGTTAACGTCACAGTCGCAAGGCACGTACGATTTGACATGAAAAAAATATATACCTAAGATTTAAAATGCATTTTAAAAATGACAAAAATCTTTGTAAAAGCTCTTATTTTAGTCTTAATTCAAAGTCAATAGATAAAATTTAATATTTCCAATAAGCGAAATACTTTGCTGTATTTCAAAACGAATTTAAATTGATTAGAATGTTTTTTTTTAAATCGCAAAAATCGGCCATATTGATAAATCTATCAACAACATATAATTCTTCTAATTAAAAAAAAACTCTTTCAAAAATAGAATATGCTTTTCTGAAACTTTCTTTGAGGAAAATTAACTGAGTTAAAGTTTAATTGATATGAATTAGAACAAATATTACTTATATTTGCTTACTTTTAATCTAAAATATCGCAAAAAGTCATTTTTTTAACACGGAGGTGGGTCTTTGTATGAAGTCTTCATAAATTTAACGATAGTTTAATGTTTCGAATTTTTAAGTAAAGAGCACATAACTGTAAAAATTACTTGACGAATACAATAGAAATGCATGTTTTATATTATTTTTTAACTACTTTTAAAAACTTCGGAAATATTCTAAGCAATCTAATATTATATTGAATTTTAAATACTTTGGCCTTATCGTCTTACTTACGAAGGCGGTTGTTGAGGAAATGTTAGAAAATTGCCTATCAATTTTAAATTTACTACAGCTACTGCTCTTATTTCTTGATAATTTCGTGTATGAACATCCGTATTTACAAAAGTTGGTACATTTATACACACACAAATCACAAGCCTTAAAGAAAAAGGAAAAGTAATTTACATTATGTTTTTAAAAAGACACAAGCAGGACCTGGCCAAGTATCAGCCTTATGACTTATTTATCTATGTTATTTATTTATTAGAAAACAAGAACGAAAGCTGAAAAGGTTCTACGTGTGCTGCCTTTGCCACATACTTGGCATTATGCGAAACAAGAAGGTACTCAGCAGTCAGGTGCTTGAGCACAATGGCCTCCCTATCATGTAGACGCTGATCAGACAACGCAGGCTGCGCTGATTTGGTCTTATACCCTGAATAGAAGATGACTGCATTGAAAAGGACATCCTGTACGGCGAAACAGGTTCTGGCAAGATATCTGGTGGCCGCCCCGAGTGACGCGACAAAGATGTCTGCAAGCGCGATATGAAAGCACTGGACATTAACGCAGACCGCTAGGAAGATTCAGCATCTAACCGCAACAGATGCCGCATTGTGCTCTGGATAAAAAAAAAAATCAGGTTGGGCAAAGAACATTTCTCCCCGGAATCGATCCTCCAGATCTACAAATCAACAATTCGCCCTTGCATGGAGTATTGCTGCCATATATGGTCTGGAGCCCTTTCTGTTTGCTTCGGGGTTCTTGATAGGCTCCAGAGGCGGATATGCAATATAATTGACCCTGCTCTGGCATCTCGTCTACAGTCACTTTCTCACAGACGCGCCGTCGCCTCTCTCTGTCTGTTTTACAAATACTTTCATGGCAATTGCTCCGAGGTGCTGCATTCGCTGGTTCCTAGACTTCACTGTCGAAACTCCTAAATGTAGCCGTCTCTTCTATTCCAATAGCTTCATGTCTCGCACCTCTCGCCTGTGGAACTCCCTTCCCTATTCCAGTCTCCCTGGGAGATATATTCTCCAGCTATTCAAATGTAATGTCAATCGACATCTCCAGTTGCCTTGATCTATCCACTACCCTTCTCCTCATCCTTTCTTCTATCAATCCTATCTGATCTTGCTCTAAATTTTCTGTATCCCTTTGCGTCCTAGTGGCTTCCCGCCTTGCTTGGGGTGAAAGGCTTAAAAAAAACCTTAGCGGAGGAAAAGAGAGCAAGGAGGAAAGCATGCTGCTGTGTAGACTACAGTCAATCACAGCCAATAATGTTGCAGGGCACTGACACGACTTGACACCAGGGTCATCTTCCATAGTCGACATCATCTGCTATTACTTTTACTCTTATACTTCATTTTTTATACAGTGAGGTTTACCCTGTACAAGACCCGAGAAACACTCGAGGCAGAGGATTACAGCATAACTGGAAAATGAGGAGTGGGCAGTCCCTGCCTAAATATGACAGCAGTACTCCATTTTTGGCCTGATCTGCCTCTTGCAAAGGTAGAGGATAGCATGAGCGGTCCAGACCATTTTACCCCGCCTCTTTAGCGAAGAATCATATGTACGAGTTCTACTTGAGGTTCGGGTTGTGTTTGAGGCCCAAAAGTCGCTCAAGGTACAGGGGTTGTACATCTATTCATCGTGATTAGTAGTTTAGTGAACGATCGCAGACAATGGAATGAAATTAGTCTGGGTTTCGAGGCATTGAACATAACCAGCTGTTCCCCGTCTTGAGATATTAGAGCTAGATCAGAGGAGCTTTCTACCTCTGGACCCAGACTTCTCCCCAGGATCAGTTAGAAACTCGAGGGGGGGGGGTCTAGAATTCACTATGAGATTAAAAACCTACTAATTTTAACTTGTTTTAGTATTCAACATAGTTTTATGCTGAATGGAAATTCAAACACCGGAAATGTACATAGGTGGCCCCAAAAAAACTGACATAATTTCAAATGTGAATAAAGGATAGGAAGTTGTGGAGATAAGTGATCGTTCACATCCTGAACGGTCAGAGGGAAGCTGCGTGTAACCTACCTAACACGCTTGGGTACATGAATAGCAGAACAGGGTCTGAGAGGGAGATTAAAGAGGCAATCTTTGGTTAGCGCTAAAAATGATAGGAAGTTGTGGAGAGACATGATCGCCTACATCCTGAACGGTCAGAGAGAAGCAGCAAATAACTCACCCAACGAGCTTGTGCAAATGGTTGGTGGAATGGACTTGGAAGCAGATTAAGGAGGCAATCACTGCTTAGTGCTAAAAGAGATAGGATGTTGTGGAGAGCCATGATCGCCTACATTCAAAATGGTCAGCGAAAAACAACGAGTAACCTACCCAACGAGCTCGTTTAAATGGATGGCAGAACAGGGATTGGGAGAGAGACAATCATTGCTTAGCGCTTAAAAGAATAGGAAGTTGTGGAGAGTTATGATCGCCCACATCCTGAACGGACAGAATGAAGTAGCGAGTAACCTACCTAACGAGCTTGTGTAAATGGATAACAGGACAAGGATTGGGAGAGATAATGTCCTGAAGAGACACGCCACATAAAATTGAAGAAAGTGTTAATTCTCTCTCTCTCTCTCTTCCTTAGCGGTTACGCTACAGGTTGTGAGTGATTATTTTTTTCCGTAAACCATGTCTTGTGTTTCACTCGGCACTATTTACCCTTCTCTGACCCCCCTTGCATTAGGATTCCTCACAAACGAAATTCTAGGAACCAAAGCATATCAAACGCCATCCCCGCAAACGAAATTCTCAGAACCAAACCACGTCAAACACCATCCTCACAAACGAAACCCTTCTCTGAACCCTCCTTGCATTAGGATCTTTTCTTAAAACATCAACATTTATCAAATGCTCTGTACATTGCTATATTCAATATTCATCATTACAACCGAATCTATACTCTTTCAGGTCGATTTCTTCAGCTGTGACAAATGTTGGCCAACGTTGAATACCAAATCGGCGATTATAGATAGCAACCAAACACTCCTTCATTCGTTAATAATGTCGATACACGAAGATAGTGTTGTTATGATCCAGAATGATAATGTTATTTCATCATTATAAAAATAAGCTTGCTATCAGTGATGATAAAGAAGGATATTTTCTCATTCAAAAATAGCCTTGTCATTGGTGATGATAGAAAAGAAAGATATTTTATCATCTTACCCTCATCATTATATAAACGAACCTTCTGCTACAAGAGATTCAGTGGAGTAGACATGGATACCCTATCACAATAGTCAGTAGACTGTACACACGTAGTCAGTAGAAACACACGTTTTCCAGCATTCCGAAAGATCGAAAACAGATGATGTAAACGCCATCCTCACAAACGAAATGCTTGGAACCAATGCATGTCAAACGCCATCCCCGCAAACGAAACTTTCGGAACCAAACCATGCCAAACACCATCCTCACAAACGAAATTCTCTGAACCAAACCATGTCAAATACCATTCTTACAAACGAAATTTTTGGTACCAAACCAAGTAAGCATTGACTTTTAAACAAAGACACACTGAGAACATTTTACACAAAAATTACCAAAATTCTGTAATTCGCATCACAAAAATAAAATACAAATTCTTGCTATTTATGTCAACACATGTCTCAAGTTTTTATTGCTAATATTATTGTTGTGCATTTTAATTCATTTCATTTTCAATATAAAAAAGAGAAAAAGATTCATTCTACACCATAAATATTTATCAGGATCCTCAAATAATATCAAGCCAGGATGACTATTACATCATCCCTAACTTTCCTACCCTGTAAAAGTGTTCGTCAATATTTCAGTGCATCCCTACAATAAAATCATTTCCAAATTGCGTAGTTTAAGTTGTCTTGAACTCTTCCAGAACTTTTTACATTAATGCGTGTGTCTCCCAAGACTTTATCCCTGGGACTAATTTGACCTTCCTGATGTCATCAGTTCCTGACTCGTATCTATGCTGATGACATAACTATTTACTTTTACCGTAATGGTAAGTCAAATTGGCGGCTGATATAAAAATTGACCTTCAATTCGTTGCTAACTGAATCAATGAATGACTTGTTAGTTTTAACGCCTCCAAAACGAAACAGATCTTTTTTAATCGTCTTAGAGAAGCTTTTTTTGCCTTTCAGTAGTATGGCTGATGCTAATCTCCAGAAGAGTGACTCATCAAGCCTACTCCGGCTAATGTTTTCCACTGACATAAAGTGAAATGAGTATATTGAAACAATTGCTAAGTCTGCTGCTAGGAAAGTTTGTTCACTGTGTCACGCTATATTCCTATAATAAAAAAAAATGCTGAATTCGCTTAATGAAAGTTGTCTTGAACGGCCACTCTTCTAGATCTTTTTGCATTAATGCGTGGATCACCCGGGGTTCGATCCTTGGACCTACTTTGTTCCTAATTTTGATCAACCACCTTCCCGATGTCATGAGTTCTCGACCAGGTATCTACGCTGATGACGCAACTATTTATTCCTGCCTTAACGAGAAGTCTGATATGGTTTGATGGTGTCAAGTTGGTGGTTGATCTCAAAAATGACCATCATTTCGTTCCTAGCTGGGGCAAGAAATCTCTTGTTAATCTTAATGCCTCCAAAAGGAAACTGGTCTCTTTTCATCGGCTGAGAAAACCTTTTTTTGCCTTCCATTAGCATGGCTGATGCTACCCCCCAAGATAGTGATTCATTGCGCTATCTCGGAGTAAGGTTTTCCATTGACCTGAAGTATTGAATCACTACTGAATCAATCGCTAAGTATGCTGCTAGGAAAGTTGGTTCACTGAGTTGCGCTAGACAATTTTCGCAACAGAATCTGTCTTACGTATTTATAAGTCTACCATTCGTTCACAGTTGGTCTGATATGTCTGGTATCTATTTGAAGATTCTTGAAATAATCCAAAGAAGAATCTGCAATATAATTGGTCCTGACTTGGAATCTCCGCTTTAGTCGCATTCCAACCACTGGAAGAAGCCTCTCTGTGACTTTTCTATAAATCTTTTTACATATAATAATTCTATATAATAATAATAATAATATATCTATATAATAAATATGTCAAGCTTATTTGTTTTTAACACTGCATATTTAAATATAATATGCATATGTTACCGGCGCGTTTACGTTACTAAGTCACAGCCAACTTAGTTTTTACACATTTTTGGTGGACACCCTCTCTCTCTCTCTCTCTCTCTCTCTCTCTGTATATATATATATACATATATATATATATATATATATCGAATCCATTACATTAACTCACGTGCTAATACCCTTGGGAAAGGTATGAATCCTCTTCCTCTCCCTCCAGCTATGGGTAAAATAGCAGGACAGACTGGGTTCTATAGCCTTGGATGGCAACTGGTCTAGGAGAAGGACAACTCTGAATTCCAAAACCTGCGGAGGGTCGTTTGGGGACCTTGTGGCACTTAGTGCACCAGGTCTCTGTATTCGTCCCTTCAAAAAGTGTGAATGGTCCTGCACGAGGCCTTCACCACTATAATCAAATCTCATGTGCCGGTGTCGGGCTGTCGGTTTCCTGGAAACTGATCTGCTTGACCCTCATACGTCGAATCTCGACGGGAGAGTCGATTAAATATATGTGTGTGTGCGTGTGTGTGTGTTAATGTATATTTGGGCAGCGACCTTTCTTTTGGACATCTTTCATTAAATACGGCAGACAAGGAAGATTTAATTAATTTTTTTATTTAGTTTATCCAGCATCCTCATCCATACGTTTTTTTTTGTTTTTTTTTTTTTTCTTGTTTTTGTTTGAGTTTTTTGTCTTGTAGGAGTAAGAGATGGAAATTGTCGATAATTTTCTTTGTCCCAAGCGAAATGGCCACTTTCATTTTCCATTTTCATCGTTTTTTTGTTTGTTTGTTTGTTTTTTGTTTTTTTGTTTTTTGGTGGGGGTTGTTATTTTCCCCCATGTTTTTGAGTAACTTGTATTTTATTTTTGTGTTGTTTTCAATAGTTCATTCCGCGCCTTCGCGTATAGCACGCGGATAGAATTCGCGCGAGCATCTTTCTATTTTTTTTTTTAATTTTAACAGTCCATTCCCCCTGTTGAATAAGGTAAGGTTGATATTAGAAGAGAGATGTTCGATATACAGGTCCTCTCTAATGTTGAGATGATTGTGGTAATGTTATTTGTAGAGAATTATAGTGTTTCCGATCAGAAGTTTTCTTAAGGTTTCTTGTAAATTCTGCGCTGACAGAAGTTTCTTTTTTTTTTATTATAGCGTATTTATCTGACAAGTGACACATGACGCATTTACACGAGGAGGTGGCAGTATGTCCGATATAGGTAATCGATTTGT